AACAGGCTGCCCAGGGAGGTTGTGGAGTCTCCTTCTCTGGAGATATTCGAGACTCGCCTGGACGCGGTCCTGTGCAGCCTGCTGTAGGTGACCCTGCTTCGGCAGGAGGGTTGAACTAGAGGACTAGAGAGGTTCCTTCCAACTCTTGCCATTCTGTGATTTAGTCTCTTACCTCATTGAGAAGGGTAGTTCTCCACAGTATGCGATCTCTATTAATATTTTTGTAGCAAAATGTAGCCTTCCGATCTGCTGAACTATCTTACGTTACCGGGCTCACTATAGATGAATGAATATTTTTGCTCAAGACTAGCACAGTCGTTTTGATGGATGACGCTGGCTGGCTGTTTGTAACTGGCGCAAATACCTTTTCTGTTAAAAGTCCTGTTAGTGGAGGTTCTTTATGACAATATACAGTCCATAGCAGGTGGCAGAGGCAGCTTATCAGAACTTCCTTCACACTGCTAAACTGTACATGCTAATGTTAGTTCAGACGATGATAGAAAACTGCTAGTTGTGTGTGAAACAACAGTATTTGCAAGTCTTACTTTTTTTTTTTTAAGAGATGCCGGAAATGCCAAAGAAATAGAAAACCCATTGGCTGTGTTGAAAGGGATTTTAACAGAGGTATGGTATGTAAGGCATTTATTGCTTTGATTTTGAAGGTAGGGAACCTAAAAAAACGTGTTAGTGTGTGCAAGAGTGGGCAGGTTTAAGTGTACAGAACTCTTCTGAACTTATTGTGAAGAATATAAAATTTGTAACTTAACCTGACATTAGTACAAACAGTGGCTCTTCATACAGAAAATTGCCCTTTTTGAGTACTTCTCAAGGTGCTTGCCTAAGCTGTTGAAAGAGGTGATGTTATATTGGCTTATTAACAAAACTGAATGATTTAAGCAATTCAGAATTGGCTTCTTTGTGTTGATCCCTTGACTTTTGTAGCCTTTTTTATGCTAATTTTTAACTTTTCTGTAGGAAGAGTCTAGACAAATTACTGTGGATCAATTAGGGCAGAAATTACTGGAGAAAAAAGGGGTGTCCTGGAATAAGAAATACCGAAAACAATGTGGAGCATTACGAAAGGTAAAATGCGTGTATGTTAATTTGTTTTTTACTGTTAAGATAACTTTACATTTATATTGAATAGTTGGTAGGGTCGTAATTGAAAATACTGGCCCTTGGACTAGCAAGATAGAGCATGTGTAAGAGAAGTTGGTAGACTGAGGAACACGGACAAGATTCTTAAGGGTTTGTCTGTCTGAAAGCTAGTATCTTATTAAAAAATAAGACAGAAAAAAGAGAATTAACCTTACCTACTGAACCTTGTTTCACTTGTGTCTCTGTATGAAGCTTCAACAACACTACTACCACTTGAACATAGAAACACTGATGAGAATTAAAGAAGAAATACAGTACCTCTTCACAGTCATAACAAAAATGAGGTTTTGAATATGTATGCTGCTTTTTGGTTAATTAGGGCATGTCCATAAAATTAATACTTCCAGTAAAATCTTGTTTGTCGAGTTGGTTGCTGTATTTTCTAATATTTTAAGGAAAATACTTCAGCATTTGTGTTATAGATATGTGGAAAATTCATGTTTGACTTTTTTGAATAGGACTAACAATGTCATTTTCACAATAATTATTCAAAAGTAGTTGTGAAATGTGAGTCTCCCATGGAGATGGATGCTTTTCTGGCTTTGGAGTGATAGAAACAAGTTGTGAGCAACCCAGTATTAACCGTTTCAAAGTCTGAGTGCTATTGTGAATATTACCAGAGCTGACTTCTCACAAGTGCCAGACGTATACCAAAAGCACACTGATCAATGTAAGACTTACCTTATTGAAATAACTGTAAATTGTTGTACAATTTTTGAAGTATCAAATGATTTTTTTCATTATGATTGAAACTAAAATTCAGATTTTGGGTGTTTGTTTTTGTTTGGTTTGCAGTTTATTTTTTTGAGGGGGTTGGTGGTTTTTGTAGTTTGGGGGGGAAATTAGAGGGTGGTTGGTGTGTCGCTCCCTGCCCTCAAGAGCCACAGTTTTGTTTTGTGTAATTTGGACACCAAACTTGTTAGAAGTATCTGTATGCTGCTAAAATGAAAGTAGAGAACAGAGTGGATAAGCTGGGTGAAACTGAGCGAGTGGGTTTTAAGTTCTTGAGATGCCGCAGTGGGCAGTGTGAATGTGGGTAAGATACAGCTCAGCAGACCAGAACTGAGCTCAGGATCCCTGTCTGGTAAATACAGAAGGGAGCACTTCTGCAGATACTAGGGAGCAGAAGGTACCAATGTTAGGGCTAAACTGATTGGGATGCTTCTCTGTGTGTCTGATCAGGCAATTGGAAACCTTCTGCTTTGAGAGCATCACTCGCTATGCAACTTTCCAGTGATAGAGAGTGTGCACTTGTGAGAAATGTCCTAAAAGGACTCCAGTGTCTCAAGCAGTCTTTGAAATTCAGAAGCTAGTCTAATTTAATCCTTAGCGATGCATGTACGTTGAAAACATTTCTTTTGCGATTTCTTGCATGATAGTTTGAAGTTATGCAAGAAAAGAAGCCAGTAACAACATATAAAAGATCAGTCAGAGAAGTGGTGGTAGGAAAATTGCATTTTTCTGTCTAAACTGAGGAAATACACGAGCAAGCATCACAAAACCGAGTTTGAAGGGATGGGATTTGTGTATCAATTTGAGGATGAATCAGGTGAAGTAGCTAATGCAGTCTGCTGTATTTAACACTAGGTGTCTTCATCTTTTCTTTGCTTTCCTTTTAGTATTTGCAGAATCATCCTCAGATATTTCAGTACAGTCCTGATGAAAATAAGGTTGGTCTGAAGGAAAAGCACAAGCTCCCGTTTAAGTCAGATTCTCAAGGACAAGATCTCCAAAGCCCTCCTCAGCAGAATGGTGTTCAGTGGAATTCAGGAAAAAAGCCTACAAAGCTAAGGGACAGTTCTGCTGGTTGCCATTGGTTTGATCTGAATGATTCGAAAGTCCAGCCGATCAAGGAGGAGGATATTGAGAAACAATTTCAGGGTAAAGAGAGTGCCTACATGCTGTTTTATCGAAAATCTCAGTTAAAAAGACCTCCTGAAGGTACACAAAGCTCATCTTGATATTCTGGGGGCTTCCTTCATTGAGAGTTTGTTTTCTGGAGGGCAAAGACTGTTTGGCCTTTCTGTCCTTTTCAAGAACTGAAGATACAGTTCTCTTTGTTGTGATCATTTGAAAAAAGTGTTAACTGAAGATAGGAGGAAGTTAACTCTGAGGAGGTAGTGACCAGTTAATTGGCTATAGATAGCATTAACTTTTTTCTAGTACGCCTCACAAACACTAGCAGAACATCTACTGAAACAAATAAAAGTTGTTGCTAATGGCATTCATGAATCAGTTTCCCTTAGGGCAAGATTGATGGGAAGAAGTAAAAGCACTTGTTTGTTCTTTGTATCAGCTTGCAGTTTAATTTTCTGTAATACGAAAGGATACAACATTATTGCTCTGCCTTTTCAATGATTACTGTAATGTCACATCTTAATCCCTTTCCTTGTTTGCCAAAACACATTTTAAGCAGCTGAGACCAAACTAGCCTATATTATTTGTTGCAGCGCGAGGAAATCCAAGGTACCAAATTCCTGAACACCTTCTGAATGAAATGAATGCTGCTAATACTGAGCTGCAAAAAAAGAGGTATATTAATGTAACTGTACCAGTCTTTTAAACAGCATTCTTAATCTGCAGATCTCCAAAGTGATTTAAAATGAAAGAAATTCGTTGAGTAGAGCCAGATGCTAAAATGATTCAATGTCATGGAGGTTTGTCAAGGAATACAATTTGTATTCACACACTCTACCTTGCTGGTTCTCTACCTCCCTGTTAGTGGCGTAACTAGGCATTCTACAGAATTTCAAGGGGAACTTACTTACAATTTAATACTGTAGCATTTTTTTTGTGAAAATCAGGGCAATTGTGGAAAGAGAACAGAAAATGTTATCTTAAATGTGTTCATAGAGGGAGTTCTCCATTGGGAGAAGGGGGAAATTACTTGGTTTAGTGTAAAACAACAGATAAATGGCGTCCTTTGCCAGAAAGGTGGAGTAAGGAGCTAGTGGTATTCATGTTTGTGGAAACCTTTCCTTCTGTTGAGCAACACACAGAACTGATGATACGCCTGAATCACAGTTAAACCATCAAAATAGAGACACACACACGAGACACAAGTCTTGTGTGATCTCTCTCTGCTGTGGAAATTTCACTCCCTTCTTTTGTAAATGGTGTATTTGCTGCTACGTGTAGCTAATAGAACTGGATACAGGTATAAGCGAGGAGGGCATGGCTGTGTCTGTCCTGAATCAGTTTCCATGCAGTTTTTCTGTCTCTGCATTTCAGCAGAGCACTGGTCTGGAACGCAGCCTGAAAAAAAACTAGTCTCTGCTTGTCTGACCATGAAGTTTGGCATTCTGTTTAAAAAGGTAGAAGCAAGGTGTAGAAACACACAGCGTGTACTCTTATAGTGCTTATGTGGAGGATGTCTACGCTAGCTCTGTGTTGTACACTGTGTAAAGCACTGTCATCTGTGAGGACCTCTTTGCATACCCCTTCACAGAGCAGGAAATGTGACAGTGAATTTAGTCGTGAGGGTATCAGTTCCAGGACAACTACACAGAAGCATCTCTGAAATAAGCTAGCTATTTGTTGGTGTTAAATTCACCAGTTCATTATTGTGTTTATTCTTTCAGAGCCGAATGTGACTCGGCAAACAATGGCATTGATTTACATCTCCATCTGAGCTCATGTTATAAATTTCACAATGGGGCTTTGCATCCTTCACTTACTTCGAAAGAGAGCGTTGTGGATTTGACTATTGATAGAAGAAAAACGCTAGGAGACCTTCGACAATCAGTATTCCAGGTATTTGCTGCATTAAAAGAATGGAAACATTTTTTTCACTTGGGCTACAACAACACTTATGTATGTATTTATGCTGCGATTTTTATCTCGGTGAGAATTTTTCAACAGTAACTGTTATTTTAGGAGACTAGCAGCTATATGGGTTTACACAGAAGGAAACATTGGTTTGAGATCTGTTTTTGAAATATTGAAGACGACATGTAATTGATGAAACACTAATTGTGCAGACTTTAATGCTCTCATAAGCTAATTATTTATATTTGGGCAGCATGTACGTGGGCATGGATTGACGCTTTGCAAAACTCCAGGCTTATTTGTAGCATTTCCCTTTGTGACAGATTTGTCTTTGTATTTTCAAGGAGCTGTCTGACCTTAAAGGGAAGTAATCAGAGTAGTTTAAGAAAAAAGAAAATCAGTTAAAAGAAATTATTTAGCTTAACTACGGAATGTGGTGTCTTTGCATTTATTCTCTACTATATTAAATAAATATGACAATTTGTAAAATGCTTTTTTTTATAGACATCTATTTCAAAGCTAGCTTGGTGTCAGGAAACACTGTTTGCTGTTCTCGTACCTCACAACCTTTGGTTAGCATCCACTTGAAACTATTTTTGTCTATCTGGTGACCAGTCTGAAAGACCAAGTCCTAAATGCTTGACTGTCTTCTGTGTTACTAGTCTTCTTGAGGTAAATAGCTGTGACTTGTTATGTGTCAAAGTGAGCTTGGTAACCAGGCTGTAACAGCTTTCAGCAAAGTTGTAATTTTGACTTATGTGACTTACTACTTGTTGTTTTTTATATATATATTTATTCTTCCCAATTAGATGTTGGAATCTTGGGAAGGAGACATGATTCTCAGTATTGCTAAGTCTTTACCAGCAGGACTGCATCTTTACCGTATACTTGATGGTAAGACTACTACATACAAGGCTTCAATGTTACTTATATGTTGTATTTACTGCAGACGTCAAGGATTTCATGTGTAAAACATCTTGGAGAGGTGTATTACTGAACACCTTCAAACCGAAACTTACGTGCCAGTCCACTGCGGTTATTTAGGACACTCTAATTAGTCAAATAAAGGTTTTGAGACTTTTCTGTGTAATCTTTGTTGTGAAGCGTAGGAAGACTGCAGATCTTACACAAGTTAAATACATTTGATGACAAAAATATATCAGTCTGTGTTTTGACCTTGGTTTGCTTATGAATGTTTGCTTTCATGATATTTGCCTAGTAGGTGGAGGAGAGGTTAGACGAGAGGAGACAGGGTGACATCAAAGAAAAATGTAGGTTAGACCTCAGCTGAAGTAGGAATTTTGTAAAGGAAAATGCCTGTGTAAAAAGTACGTTAATTTATTAAGAGTATATTAGTATTTTAAAACCATGAGTTCTGTCTCCAGCTTTGCATTGTTAGGCAATTCTAGGTGTTAGTCTTCAAAAGCCTATTCAGCTATTTTTTAGTTTTATAGTCTTTCTGGTCTGTTTCAGAACATGTTCTACCATAAAATAACCTAACTTTCCATGATGTTGGCATCAAAATACAGAGACGTTCATAACTGCTATAAATATTCTTCCAGATGCTAGTACAGTTCTTTAAATGACAATGACTTAAAAAATCTGAATCTGACTTACGGTAGGAAGATAAAAGAAACTGCAGCATGGGCATTAGTATTTCAAAGAATGGGCTTGGAATGTACAGCCCATAACTCATTTAAATCCAGCCTTTTTGTTTTAAATCTATCGATTCGCTGTTAAAGCTCATGTAGATAATCCTGACCAGGCAGCTTTGCCAAGTGCGAACTTGAGCCTCGGTTTGCAAGGGAAATTGAATTGAAACCTTCATGCTGCAGCCCTCTTTTCTTGGTGAGAGCGCTGTACAGGTGTGTACCCACTTGTGTTGCTCTTGCTACATGAATGATCCCTAACTCGTGCACCATAAATGCTGATCACGCAGCAGCTTTTGAGGTGATACACTTGAGACAGCGTAGAATGTGCCAGCTGATGCTGCTTGTCTTTTTTGTGAGAGGGGCAAGAACTTGATAATTTGCTCCCTTTTAGAAGATGAGCTGACACTGGATGGCATTGGGCTGGCTGATGGAGCAGACGTCTTCGTGTGGAATGGGAAAGAGGTAAAAGCACCAAATACTCTCTCTCCTTGTCAGTTCTGATAAGATGCAATCTCCAGACACATTTTTGGAAAAGTCAGTCTGTTCTGCAGATGTGTTGCTGACATCACAGTGTTAGTTTTGGGGACATCACTTCAGCCTCATCTAGGATACTAGGTTTTTGCAGCTTGTCAGGACACCTTGAGTGATGTACAGTGTGCTGCTTGGTAAAATTATAAATAGAATTATACTATGCAGAGTGCGATATGGTCAGATTGAGAAGTGTCTCTAGATATCCAATGTTGGTTACTTTGGAGTGTATTCTGAAAAAATCTGGTGCCTCTTGGTTGGTAGTAATGAGGTAACAAAAACTTATGCCCTGTAGTGGATCATTCCACGTATAAAATTAGATCTATGAATGACTACTTTTTTGTCTCCCTGAAACACTGTGCTCCTTTCCTAGTATTGCATCTTCCTTCTAATGTTAAGGCTTCTGCTTAACTTTCAACTGCTTGCCTCAGTGGTTATGTAACACAGCATTTAATTCCGTCTCTATATGGAATAAAATAATACTTTTAAAAGTGTTTTTTTTTAAAGTATGCATTTTATTTCTGATTGATCAAAAAAAAACCCAAAACCCAAAGAAAATATCTAGTAATAGAGTCATTCTTGTCTTGGTTGTACTTCTGGTATGGTCTTCACTACTCCAGCTTCCTGTGTAGTCAGATTGCCTTCACCAAAGAATTATATTCTTGGCCTAGGTTGAATATCAGAAAGGCCAGATTTTAAAATCTAACTCTCTTTGATCTGCCTCAGTCACACTTTTGGGTAGTTCTTTAATATCCTGAGGGTCTGAATTCCTCTATTCTTAATCTGATAGAGATCAAGTGTCCACTGGTTTCCAGCTACCGTTATTGATATACTTACTACACGTGCAGAGTTGAACGGACCTTAGCACTATGCTTTCACTTCCCAGCACCTTTGAGTTATTCTAGCTACTTGTTCAGTAGGTCAAAGGTGGTTTATTTCTAATGAGGAGATGGGGTCCATCTTTTAATCTCAATAATTTTATTGTTGTCATTTATTGCTGTCCAGTCTTTTCTGTATTTTATTGATCACGACTGCATATATCTTGCATTCCTTACTTCAGGTTGGTGGTACAAAGGTGATGACAGGCCCTGATCATGAACCTGTGGTCATAAACGTTCTTCGTTTAGCGGAGTATAATGAAGGAGGGAAGGGCCAGCATTTCACAGAATCGCAGCACGTCTTTTCATGCAGCACAAAACTGAGTGATCTGTGTAGAGTCTTAGCACCACTAGGAGGAATCATTCTGAAGAACGGCTCAGGACCAGATAAAGAAGCCAAGAACTGGGAAGTTTTTCTTGAAGAAGATATGAAGAAGACAGTCAGAAGTGTTGGTCTGACAGATGGATGCTCAGTGCTAATCTTAGACAGCCATGACCAGAGGTAACCATTATGATAACGAGTGTAATTAAACAAAAAAGCAATTTCAGCAAAATCTGTTTAGTTAAAATTATGCTAGCTCTCTCTCTCTATATATATATATATTCTTTTAAACTAATTGTTATTTTGAGCTTTCAAATTCAAGATAATGTAATCTAATACTTACCTGCTATTAGATATTTCTTTGCTCTTGAAGTGCAGATGCAGTCACGTGCTTTAACTTGTAAAAGGAAAAACCTAGCGAGAACAACTTGTGCCCAGTGTGCTGGCACATTCTTGGCATCACCTGAATTTCTGAGGTTTGACGTGTGTGGTTCTCTGAGGGACTTGGTGAGATGAGAGAACAGACCGGTATCAGAATAGTATACAGCTCTGCTGAATCTCCCAGTTGAATCTGAAGGTGCCAGGGCAAATTTCTGGTCTCATTTCACTTCCCAGTGTATAGCCCTGAGGTTAGGTTCCTGTTTTCAGAGATGCGTATACGTGCTGCTTACGTAAATTCTGACTTCTTAGTTGAAGCAGCACTGAAAAATTGAGACTAAATCAAGCAGTGAGAGGATTCTTCACCAATAACTGTTTCTGTGTTTATATACAGTAGCAGAGACAGATAAAATCTCAAATTTTAGTTACGACTGGGTATGCTTTTACAGTATTTTTTCAGAAGCTTTAAATCCAGCCTCATGAAGTTACTTATACTCTGAAGTGCCTTCAGAACCTGAAGTCCCATTGAAAGCTAGTTACTAAAGCTAGTTACTAAAGCATGGTTTTTACTAGCATGGTTTTTTTTTTATCCCAACCAGAGGTGCCTGGATGCTGCCCAAGGCCTCTGACTCTTACTCTGTGATGTGCCATCACTTTTAATGACCTAAGTAGGCATTATCTGTGTATTTGAGTGCTTTGGTATTTAGCGATCTAGCTTGGACAATGTGTAGTTTTCCTGTCTGTGACCGTCTTTGCACTGTTCATTTTTACAGCTTCGTGAATGTGTCAAGTGGCAATTTGACTGCTTTTACGTATGACATCAGCTGGCTCCAAGTTAAGAACTTCTGTGGAACAGATGGTGAAGAGAAACGTGTTAAAATTACTGCCACTATTGAAACAGTAAGAAGTCTGATATAACACAGGCAGTTTCTCTGAAAAGCTTGGCCAGTGCGCTTGGGCCAAGTAATGAGGAGTGGGTTTAGCCTCAGGGCTGAAGTTTTTCTGTGAAGAAAATAGGGTGCAATTCAGAGTTACTGTTACTAGAATACTTTTACTGCTGTATAGTAAGACTGTAAGGCTGGTGACTTAAACCAGTGCAGTCTACATTAGTGTGTTGTAGTGTGAAACAATTTCCTTTTTGGACCGTCCTGTATATGTATGTTTGGTGTGGCTATGTCAGCAAACAAAAGCTATAAGAGAAGGGAAGTACTATCTCTTGCTTTCAACTTAGAATAGGAAAAAATGCTGGTTTTCCCCAAGGCTAAGGCTTCTCTGGTACCTTTTCTGCCTTTTAAATTGTTTCCTGTTACAGAAAATATGAAGCACTACTTAGTTTTGCTCACAAAATTACTATTTGTGGAATATTAGTCTTTTGATAAATCCAAAAATTAAATACCGCTTTCTTTTCTTTGGAATACTGTCTTTAAGGAAAGTTTCCACAAACGTGTTGTTATACCAGTACATTTATTTTTTATATATATTTGGTATAATAATGTTAAGGAAAAGTTTTCTTAGCTGTGTATAGTGTTAACAGGAAGAAGAACATAACTAGTGTCCCTTTCAAGTGAAGGCTGCCTTTTGTGGACTGGCATTTGAACAGCAGGTGTGTTACTGGCATTCTGTACTAGAGGTGTTAATATTGTTTTCTTTTAGGTGATGTCAGATATCAAAATGAAAGCAATACGGGAGCTTCAGCTAGAGGAGGAACTAGGTAAGTGTTCTGCTGCTTTACTTTTAGATCTGATAATGTTGTTATTTACTGGCTGGCTTCCCGCTATTTGCATCAGTCTATTCAAAACGGCAAATCCATTGCTGTTAAGTTTTTTGGGGGGAAGAAAGAGGGTGCAAAGGACTTAATTTTATTCAAAACTAGATGAATTTTATTATTTTTCCTAGCTTAAAAAAATAAATTAGTGTAAGTCTTGATTAAAATACATTTTATGAAGGTCTTATTTTTCAGAAGCTGTTTGAGTAGGAATAATCATGTCCTCTTACTAAAGTATTACACTAAAAATTGAAGAATTTTTTTTTTTTTTACCTTAGTCCTTTCTTTAAAATACTGCAGTCTTCTTTCTTGAAAGGTTTTGTGGTTCCCTTTTGAAGCACTTGGTCAGTTTTAGAGTATTTTACTGATTGTGGCTAACAGCTGGCTTCAAAGAGAAAGTAATCCTTCACTGAAAGGATAAACACTAAGACTGTTCACGAAGTTTCTAGAAATCTCTCTCCAGTTGTACTTTTGGTGTAATACCTCCAGAGGGAGACCTCTGAGAGAAACCTGTTGTTTTCATTAACATCAGATATGTTATCCTTCTGAACTTCTGAGCCAAATTTCTTCGAATTTTGATTACTTAATACAGCTATCTCTCTTTCCTGCCCTTTTTATTACAGCACATGACAGCTGTCTTAGACCTGTGAGCGGAAATGGGAAACTTCTTTCTCCAGGTAAATCTATTTTTTTAATTGTAATTCTGTAAGAAATTCAGTTGGGAGATTTTAAGCTTCCCTTTGTCCTTTCCTGGAAGTACACATGCATAACTTCACTAATTTCCAGGCTTAACTGAAGCAGTTGTTTGTTGGTTGTTTGGTTTTTTTTTTCTAGTTTTACTGCTTATTAACAGTACCAATACAAAGCTAGAGGTTAAACTTAAATGTTCAGCTTGGTTTGATTACTTGCATTCCTAAGGAGTAAAACTAATTAGCATACCTACCATTATTTATTGACCACGGGTTATGTGCTTCAAGACTGTGGGAATTAACAGAAAGTTCTGTTTCCCATACTTATTTTATAAATGGAAAAGTCATTAAATGACCCGTTTTGAATTTATTTAGTGCATTACAGAGCAACTTTCTAGATATTGCAGGAAACAGTCATTGTTCCAGGTCTTTCTAACTTACATTTCCAGAAACAAAATGCACTAAATGGATTTGTTAGAGTGTTAATGTACAAGGTTGAATTTCATAACAGCTACAGCTACAAACTGGAGTCCTGTGGTGATGGAGGAAGCACTGTTTGGTTCCTGTTTATTATGAGAGGGCAGCTTGTGTCTGGTGTATGCCACACACTGGCTAGCGTGTGGATTCCTCTTTCCACAAGTGTGGAGGAACATGTTCGTGCCATAGCTTGGTCTTTCCTTGGGATGAGCATGTGATGCCACCTGTCACTATGTAACTGTGTTTCTGATGGCCAGCGTTCAGCAGTAAAGGACCCCCACCTTTCCTCTTGCCGTTGTTGTGACAGTGGTGAGAAACTGAATGGATCAGCTTTGTGCTTGCTGGGAAACATTTTCTGCGACTTCGCTATTTTGCTAATATATTGCATTAGTAAAACATGGCCAGGAAGCCAAGGAGAGGTCAATTAGCCTCCATTCAGTGCTTGTGAGACAACATCTGGAGTATTGTGCCCATTTTGGGGACTCCCCAGCATGAGAAAGAAGCCCTTACAAACTAGAGTCAGTCCAGAGTAGAGCACCCAGGATGGTCTGGGAGCTGGAATATACGAAAGAGAAAGGAAACTGGGCTTTTCCAGCCTGAAGAGGAGGAGGCTTGGTGGAGGTGGAGTGGGGTAATTGCCATCTTTAACTCTTTAACGTGGACCTGTAGAGAAGGCAGAGCCAGATTCTGCTCAGAGGTGCACATTGAAAGGATCAGAGGCAGCAGGCACAAGTTTCAGCAAGGGAAATTCCAGCTGGGTATGGTGGGAGTTGAAAGGGAATTCATGTTGGAGGTGGTCGAGCAATAGACACAGAGCCCTGGGAAGCAGGGAGTGATCCATCCCTGGAGGTGCTCAGAGCTTGACTGGAAAAAGCCCAGAATGAACTGATGTGGCTTCAGAGCTGCTTCTGCTTTGAGCAGAGATTTGAACTGGACAGCCTACAAAGACCCCTTCCAACCTAAATTCTTCTGTCATCCCATATACATGGAGTGGTGGGGAGGAACCTTTACACAAATGTTGCTTTGCTCTCATCAGAGGACGCTTACAGATCTGATGTCAACACTGTGGAAATGAAGTTCTCTAAATGTCACTGAATATTTTTGTCTTGCTCTAAAGAGCAGCATAATAGAATGGTTATTTTCAGGAAGCAGCAGCTTATGATGTTCTCTTTGGTTTTGTCCTCCCTGAAGTGCCTGAAGATTATACTGTCAAGGAAGCAGAACTGAAAATGGGAAGCTTGCTAGGGCTGTGTCATGGGAAAGCTCCAACTTCCACTCAGGTATAGTAGTGCTGTGACAGGTATAGTAGTGCTGTGACTGAAGAGAGTCTCGTGCTGCTTTTATGCTTTATTTAAATTTCCCAGTATTTTATGTGGTCCTCTTTTTACTCTTCTAATGGTTGTAAATGGCATGGAAAAAAACACTCAGTGACACTGAGAGTCATACATATCAGCATGAAGGCTCACACCATTTATCGCAGTTGCTGCAGGACAAGACCATATGCATGACCAGTTAATATAGCTCATTTGACTAATGGTAATTGATTTATCGCTCATCTGTTTGTGGTTGTCCATCTTCTATGCTCTGATGTGCATATACTTTTGTAAGGAACATAAAGTAAGAAAAGGGAGATACTGATCTTGATATCTACAAGTTGTAAATATGCAGGAGAAATAATAGTTGTATGTTTTTAAAGATCAGAGTGCTAGCAGGTTTTATCTCATTTGCAGCAGGCTAAGTAAATGAATGGTTAATGAACATCTACTGATGGCCGTAACTCAATTGCATGTGCTCGTCTGTTTGTCCTGCTTAGATTGTTTGCTTTAACCCTAAATAGTATCAGTGGTGTTTGACTGATGGCAGGCTTCCAATAGCTGGTATATGTGTGTGTTAGGGGGTGTTATGTAAGTATGGAAATACTGTAAAATATGTATTCTGATAGCGTATACTTGCTTTTTTAGCTCTTCCTATATTTTATTGTTGGGACCGACCAAAACGCAAGCCCTGAGATGGAGATAGTTGTGGAAGAGACTGCCTCTGTCAGAGAGGTGAGTGTAGCTGCTTTTAAAAGCTTTTGTCATGCCTGGCTCAGGTCTGGTGCTCGTGGTGAATTTTGCCTTATACCCGTGTGTCACTTCAGGCCACCAAAAGACACCGAGGCAAAGGGAACTGTGTTTCAACTGCAAAAGGTCATCAGGGAAGAATGCCTTGATCTTTCACCTGAAGAGACATCCTTGCTTTTTGCCAAGAGTGAACATAGTCTGACTGCCTTGTGCCTGGCTCGCCACTTCTGTTATACGCAGCAGTCCTCAGCATGATGTGCGATCATGGCAGAGCCTGCCGCAGTTCAGTGTAGTTCATCAAACTCTGAATGCACAGAGTTGGAGTGAGAGGAGTCAGGAAGAACTGGGCACAGAGCGAAGGAAGCAGTTGTGGTACTGCCAGTCCAGACTTGTGGCACAAAGTGCCCACATCTGCGAGCAGTGGCTGGAAAGTGTTGAATTTGCAGTTTGATTTCTAAAAGGTGCGTTTGTTCAAGTAAAGCAACAAACTGACAGGACACATTCTTGATTTTTAAGCTGGCAAAAGCTGACTCACCTGACACAGTGATTTTATTGCCTGAAAAGAAACTCGGACTTGAAATGTTTGATATATACCTCAAATACACCATGTCTATGTAATTATATTGGTTTTAGGAATTGACTGGGAATTGATCACTCAGTTTTTATGTTAGAAAGTTCTAGTGTAGATTTGCTGAAAACTTTGTATTTCCCAACCTATGCATTGAGCCAAGTCTCACTGTGTGTTTCTGTTTTCAGTGTCTAAATTTAATGCTGGAAAAATCTGGATTATCAGGTGAGTTGTGTTGCATTGTTATTTAATGATTTTTCTAAAAGGGATTTCCACAGCTCTTGCTACCCTAAAACTGCAAGTCGTAAGTTTGTTACAATGATCTACGTGTCGTTGTAGTGTAAGGAGTGGAAAGAATGATAAACTTGCAGTCTTGCTCTGACCAAAGCTGGCTGTGCAGTTGCTCTTGAAAATCAGTTTCAAGCTTTCTATATATGGGAAAATCCCCGGTTCCTAGACTATTTGCTTTGGTGCAGGTGGAGATGTTTGGCTGTTTTGACAAGATTTGCTATTGTAGTATTTGCTATCACTGCCTGAGAGGAACTGTAAAAAATATTTTTTGTTTGCTTTGCAAAAACAAACTATTCAAAATGAGATCACAATTTTGTCATTATTTGGGCATCTGAGTGGTGGCAGTTCCCGTTACTAACCTTTTACGTGAGAATTAAGGAAGAGAGATAGACAGCACTAGCATCACACATGAATTTCCTGGCTGAACATGTCTTTCCATTGATGCTGATGGGGAGGAAGAAGAGGAGGCTTGGAGTGGCATTGTTTTCCAGCTTTTGTTCTGAACACTCATTGAATACTGAGTTTGTGTTACAGTGGAGTGATGGCTGCAAATTCAGCCATGCTCCTAAAAAATCATACAAGTTTGCCTGAAAGACATTATTGTCAGAATATACATTAATTAGCCCAAATTAAAATTGGATATTGTGCCCTTGTGTACATGTACGTGTGAGCTGAGGTATTTAATGTCTTGGAAATATAAACTTAACCCTTTTCATTTCCCTATAGTATAGGTTTACTGCCAAGAAACAATGGTTCTGTATTAATTGCTTTATTTTATATTACCACTTTTGAACAATTGAATTTGGCCTTTTGTAGAGATTTGTGATCTGACTGCTCTTATTCAATGTCAGACTTCAGTGGATTTTGGTGTTCTTTTTCTTTAAAAAGACTGCAAGGTATTCCCCACCCCCCTTCCAGATTTATTGCTGAGATGCTTTCTGGGCTTGTTTTTTTTTTTAATTATGAAAGTCAAATTTTGTACCTTGGAGAGAATAAAATGCACTTTCAGCAGTTATTTTGATAAAATTAAAAGATTTAACTGTATTTGTTCATTCTGTACCTGGTGCTAAATCTAAAAGTATTGTAGTTTCTGGGATACACCATCTTTTTTTTTCTCCAGCGTGAAGTCTCCTCGTAGACAGTTGGGAAGGGGAAGTTGGATTTTTCCTTATAATGTAGTTCTCATTTTAACAAGCCTATCACTGATTCAAATGCTGAATTGGCATGGAAATTCCTTCACTTTCCTCTTAAACCAGGGAAATTAGCTAGGTAGGAGAGGAAGAGACATTTATGGAAATAAGAGAAGACCATTTCTGAACAGCAAAGTGTTTCTGGGGTCTGGGGAAGGAAATTAAGGTGGTACTTCATTCAGTCTGTCAGAGTTGTGTTTGAAAAACAAAAAACAAACAGAAGAACCCCTTCTTAAGGGTTTTGTAAATTTTTTTTTCAAAACAACATTGTTGGCTAATTAGTTTTGCATATGTGTGTTTGTGTTTTTTGGTAGGTGACAACTGGCATTTGAGAAGGATTGACTGGTGCTATGAAGCAGGGGAGGCATTAAGTCAGGAAGTAAGAGGATCCTGGTTTTGGCTTGAATCATGTGGTAGTTTATTTACTCCATTTTTCTGTAGAGACCCCCTGAAGAGAACAGCAGTAAAGCAAACGCGTGGTGTTTTTGTGTGCTACCTTAGTACACACCCTGTTTTATTTCCACAGGACCTTATGAAGACAGCGTTGGGATCCTTATGGTTATAATATAAATCTTGTGCACCTGCCTTTTATGATTAAACCATATCCGCATAGTTTCTGCTAAAGTCTAGGCTTACCATGCATCAAAGATACATCTAGACAGAAGCAGGAGGTGTCAGTTGGTGGAATGCAGGGGTGTGAAGGAAATCCACAGCTCTACAGGGTGCTCTGGAAGGGCTCCTGCAGAGCAGACTCTTGCGGGTGCAATGCTTCTGTGCTGCTGCAAAGCTGTCTCCAAGTGGTGGATGGGAAATGGATATTTCTGTGGTCTCTGGTAGAAAAGCAAAAACACCTTGGACCTTTGGCTTGCAGGGCTTAAAAAGCCACCAACATATACTTTGGAAACAAAGGATAAGAGCATGTGGGCTTACAAGTATACTGTGCTCTCTATTCCCACAGAATGCCACTCTGAAGGAACTTAATGTTTGCGGAGGAGATACTTTGGTTGTGACTGAAGGAAAGCTTCCACCAAA